GCACTGCACCTTGCTCAGCCACAGATATTCCAAATTTGCATCAGTCTCGCCTGGCCAGGTGAATTCTGGTACTCACACAAAAAGCACAGAGGGGATAATTTTCTGTCCCCAGAGTGACAAAAAAACACTAAAAAAAAAGCCCTAAAACCACTGGATCCTGGCATCCCAAGCCCTGCAGGGCCAGGTGCACTTGGGCAAGAGAAAATTGGGGAATTGGAACTCACACATAAAGCTCAGAGGGAACAATTTAAGGAAATCCAAATTTCTGTCCCAAAAGTGACAACCAGCCCCAAACCCACTGGATCCCTGCATCCTAAATCCTCAGCCCCACCTGGCCAGGTGCAATCCCACAGGAGAAAATTGGGGAATTGGAACTCACACATAAAGCACAGAGGGAACAATTTAAGGAAATCCAAATTTCTGTCCCAAAAGTGACAACAACCAGCCCCAAACCCACTGGATCCCGGCATTATAAACCCTCAGCCCCACCTGGCCAGGTGCAATCCCACAAGAGGGAATTGAGGAATTGGTACTCACACATAAAGCACAGAGGGAACAATTTTGTGTACCCAAAGTGACAACCAGCCCCAAAAACCACTGGATCCTGGCATCCTAATTCCTCAGCCCCACCTGGCCAGGGGCATTCTGGTACTCACACATAAAGCACAGAGGGAACAATTTAAGGAAATCCAATTTTCTGTCCCCAAAGTGACAGAAAACCACTAAAAAAAAAAAATCCCTAAACTCACTGGATTCTGGCATCCCAAGCCCTCAGCCCCACCTGGCCAGGTGCAATCCTGCAGGATGGTACTCACACATAAAGCACAGAGGAACAATTTAAGGAAATTCAATTTTCTGTCCCAAAAGTGACAACCAACCTGAAAATCCACTGGATCCCTGCATCCTAAACCCTCAGCCCCACCTGGCCAGGTGCATTCTGGAACTCACACATAAAGCACAGAGGGAACAATTTAAGGAAATTCAAATTTCTGTCCCAAAAGTGACAACAACCAGCCCCAAACCCACTGGATCCTGGCATTATAAACCCTCAGCCCCACCTGGCCAGGTGCAATCCCACAAGAGGGAATTGAGGAGTTGGTACTCACACATAGAGCACGGATTTCTGGTCCCCGACCTGGCCTCCATCTCCCACTGTCAGGGTGTCGTAGCCTCTCTCCAGCTCGAACTCCTCGA